CATATCACTTTGATACCTCTGTTTCTATATAAAAATCTCAAAAAAAGGCAAAAAAATTCTTTAAGAACACCATAGTCTGATGCCATTTTTCTGATGGCATACAAAATCCAGTCACTCTTTTAGTTCTTTCTGGTTACTTTTTCACAGGAGGAGAAAGATATCACAGACTAGGGAGCATGAAAGGAAAGGAGAAGATAATCCACACTGCAGACAAAAATCTGCAGGATTTTGTTGGAATAATGGATCCAAAGCAGCAAACACAATAGAGTTCAAGGGCCTGCCTTCTTTTCCACACACACTCCAGTGAAACTGCATTTTCACAGCTGCAAAGTGTAGGATTTGTTCTGTGTTTCCTTCCCAATGCTTCTGTGCTTTCCCTCCAGAGATATCTAAAACTGAGATTCAACAAAACAACACAAGCAACACCGTGGAAAAGAATCAACTCTCAGCTAACTGCAATAGAAAGTGCATTTTCCTGCCCAATAAAAGTGATATTTGTGTGGGCTGTTATTCTCAATACCTCAGGGCATGGTTGTGCAGTTAATTGGATTCAAGGGAGTGCCCACACTATAGGTGGTATCTGTCAATAATAATTGTTGCTAAAAGTAGGGGGACGTTTTAGAAGTAAAATTACAGATGAGATATTACAGGAGTGTTTATTTTTCTACTGAGAATGCAAAAATTTTTATGTACTTTTATACCTCTACAGCAGATGTCATATCACTTCTGATTAAAACTGCTTGCCAATAATAAATTTCCGTGGGGCACAAATGAAAATCAGCTTCTATAGATAACTCCACAAAATAAAAATTTCCACTGCATTTGCCAACCTGTGCTCCATATTGTCTGATAAAAATAGGTACAAAAAACAATAGACAAAGAAATTAAAAATTATGATAAAAATAGGTAAAAAACCCCAATAATAGGATATCAGGAACTGCAAGCTGGGGATCACAAGTGTTCTGAATATCTTCTGAGAGCTTGTTCATTTAGAGACCCCCCTACCTGTGGATAATTTATGTGTGTTCATTCCAACCATTGCTGATGTAAAATATTAAGACAGCTCAGTAACCTCAGTAAAGAGACTCACAGGCTTCAAAGATGGGATGAAGCAAAAAGAACAAGCATGCTTGATGAAAAATTCATACTTTTAATATTTTGTATTTCCACATTCTATTCTATGTTCATCAGAACCTGAAGCATGGAGTAGCAGTGACTTAATTTCTTTTCTGCCTCCAGGTATACACCAGGGCACCAGGCTGATGGCTGGCTCACAGAACACCAGCTCCTTATTACTCCAGATAATTTATTTATAACGAGGTTCATGTGTTTTCCCAGTTAGATGCTGATGCAATTTGACTGAGCTTTCAGTTTATAAAGATGTGTAATTGTTAAATGGGTACAAATATTGATAAAACATTCCCTACACAAGAGCAGAAGTGTCAGACAGGGAGGGTGTTCAAAGATAAATCTTGGGAAATATATTGCATATCAGCTTTTCTGCCCAATGGGGGAAATCCTCTATGTTAAAGGTCTAACTTCAGAGGAGCTGTAATATTTTAATTTATATATTTCTACTTCCACATTAATTAGCCCATTCACAATTATCTGCTTCACTACATGTGAGGGTGCTGTTTACTGGGCTCAGCTCCTGCAGAATGGACACTGAGGTTGAGTTTGGAACCTGAGTGGATGGAAATGCAGAGATTGCTCATTCCATACATTAAACCACAACATAAAATTGTTCTCTGGCTTTACCAAATGCAGATTCACTGGGAATTGTGCTGGGAGAAATGAGAGGGTTGTGTCAACCTTTCTTGCATGGCCACGATCCTCACCAGGGACAGACCAATCCCTGTGGGATTCCAATAGATGTAAAAAAGCTGGAAAACAGCTCAGCTTGCCCACAGCAAGATGCTGCCACAAAAATTATCAATAAGCAAACCTCACCTTCTAAACTCTTTGGAGAATTGAGTGCAGATCCTTCACAGGTTGCTGGAAGTGAAAGACACTGAGAGACCTCCTGAGAAGATTTTCACAGGTGTGAGTCACGTTACTTAGATCAGTTTAGGGAATGCAAAAATAAAGGAAAACAAATGAAAACTGCACACATCTGAAGGTGCACTTACAGCTGGCATCACCTTCCTCAGAGGAAAGTCAGATTCAAGTGTTTTGATTCTGCAAGATTCTTAAAATTTGTGAAAAAAAGAATGCTGTAACTTTGAAAGTTAGATATTAAAGCTTTCTTTTAGGTTCAATAGCCACAGAGAGGGTGAATATCTTCACCTCTACCCAAACCAGTACCCTGTGCAGTACTGCACTTTTTCAGTTCAGAAGTTAAGTGGCACAATTGGAGCTTTGGTTTGTGCCCAAATGACTTGGCAAGACTAAATTCAGTGATAATGAAACTTCACAGATTTACAGACGTCCTGGAAACAGCAGAAGCAAGTTTAATATTGTACTCCAGGACATAATTACAGCACTCACATATTTTCATTTTTAAAAAAATAAAAATAAAAAAAATTATGAAGAGGAAGAGGCAGAAATTGTTCACAGAATTGAACAGCCCTATCAAAGGACAGCTATAAAGAAGAAACCTCTCCAGCCCTCCAAAAATGATATAGGCATTTGAACTGGTGATTTCAGTAATTAAATTTCAAAATACTTTTGTTTCACCACATCTAAAATGCTCACACTGGCATGTGAGCAGCAGTGATGTGACTGAGGACATTAGCAGGTAGTGCTGCAGTAATTAGCAGTGTGCTCTGACTGTGCTCAAACACAGGTCACATTGTCCCTACCAGAGATTATTCCTAAAAGAAGTTCAGCCCTTTATGCAAAAAGTGATTTAGGATCAAAACCCAGCAGTGCAGGAGTCTGGAGTATGCCAAGAGGAGAAACAAAGCACCCCCAGCCCAACACTCAGCAGTGTGATAAAAACAGTTTTACCTCTTAAGCATTTTTATCCCTAAAATTTCAATTTAGCCATATAAGAAACCCCACAGCCACAGCAACCAACCAGCCAAAATAATATTTTCTGTTTGGCTGTCAAACACAGCCTATGACAGAGTCTCCCTCTAAAGAAAACTGCAAAATCCATCTGCTCCGATGGGTAAAAATAAATAAATAAATATCTCCTAACCCTTTTCACATTCCAGGCATGTCCATTAACTTTCTCTATTAACACTCTTTGGACAGAAATAGCACACAGAATGCACAAGAGCTAATATTGGAAAAGCTAAACAAAAGCTGTAATCAGATTTTAAAACAGACAATATAAGGCATTGTAATTAACTGGGTTGGAATAAAGTGGTCTTTATTAGTGCAAATGAGCTCATCTGCTATAGGAATGAATATTTCACAATCTAATCCAGGATGTATTGACACCAGCCACACATTTACATTTCTTCCATGGACAGATTGTTATTGACCTTGTGATGTGACATATCTACTGTCACCAAGCTACAAAATGGGAATCTCATCCTGCCTCTCCTCTTTTATATACAGAAAGCAACTAATTTGTCAGCATGCCAGCTTTAACTAGCTGAGATGAAGGTAAGCTAATTTAATAGGAACTGTTCAATAGCTTCGACCCACCTGACACTGTCACTTAAGGCAGCTCCACATTGCAGTGCCTTTCATTATTTCCAGCTCTTTCTTCAGACTACTTGAACAGCAAGTCAAATAATATGCTCGGGAGTCAATAGGCCTGACTTTTTCTCAAGGACATTCTTTTGATGCCAGGAAGCGTCAAGTGGGAAAACACGTAGCGTGAAGGTGAGAGGACACTAATTAAATATACATAGCTCTGGCCAGGGAAGAACGAGGCACAGCTTGCTATCTCAAAACTCAGTTGCCTGCTTGGCTGAGGTCACAGCTGTTGACTTGTACAAGTTCTTAAGTTGCAGGCTCAGTGTGAGACGCTTTGGCACTGTTAAACAGCAGACAAAGGCTATCTGCGAGGATGCTGAGTGCAGCTCCGCGTGCTTTTGTACTTGAAAGACACACAAAAGAGATCCCTTGTTTAAGTCTGACTGAAATGAATATGTATCTTTTATCTATCAAACTGTTCTGGTGTTTCCCGAAGCTGGGGAAGGCTCTGTGCTTGTCACACCATGAGTAATGCCATTAATCTTGTCCGTGCAGGATCTGACTTTCTAAAGGATTATTTCAAAGGGTTCTTGTTCAAACCGCAACACCCCTCCGGATTAAAGTGGCTGCAGTGAAAAGCAGGTGTTTACATGCATGCACTTGGATTGTTTCCGAGGGAAGCATGCACCCTCCCACCCACCTAAAACACTTTCATAAAAATATCAAACAGTCCAATCCTCTCCTCCTTTTCCTAGGTGTTCTGGGCACTGCTGATTGCTCCCATTTAATATCTTACCTAAAAATCAAAATTTCAGTTACCAGCTTGCCAAACGCCACCCTGACCTGCAAAGTCTCACTTTCACCCTCACTTTTAGGTCAGACATGAATTTTGGACGTTTGTCCTTCCACAGACACCTGGGCAGCAGTGGCCCCACCCACAAAGTCATTTCTGGTTTTGCTGCTGTGTTTGTGCAGGAAAAGGAGGTTCTGCTGGGCTGTTTGCATGCTGTGAGCGCTATCCCTCCCTTCAGGCTCAAGGGTAATCAAAACTCACATTATCTCTAAATGGACAGATGAGGAAGTGCTCAAAACTGGGCTGGTTTGATAGAAAAATTATGCAAATTAAGACATTTAATAGTTGCATAATTTCACACTAACAACTGAGCATTCAAAACTCCAACGTTTACTGTTCCTAGAACATAAATATAATGGTGCACCACATCCATGCTTTATTGTTTGCAGTTTTTATCAGTCTACGGCCAAAGAGTTTTTTCCTGAAAGCTCAATATTTCCTCCCAGTTTTTCCCTGCTGACCATGCAAATTACATTTCACTTTTAGTTTGTGAGAACGACTTTTGCTCACCAGCCACGAAGTTCTTGCTTTCTTCAGAGACCGGGCTTGACCTCCTCCTTCCCTCCACCTGGGGGCTGTGGGACTGAACACCATCTGATAAATTGCTAATACACCATTTATCTCAGTCTCTCGAAGTATTTGAGAGCAATTGCAGGTCTCAGCTCATCAGATTTTCGAGTTAACAGCCTTTTTGCCCAGGCTGTGAGTGCATTTACACTCTGAGCACATGAATATGCAGGTTGAGAGCAATGCACTCCACGCTCCTTGGTGGAATGTGGGAAGGCAAAGACTGCAGCAGGATTAGCAAAGGTTTCATTGTTTGTCACCCCTGTTTACCTTTGGTTGTGGTTTCCATGTTTTGTTGGTTAAAAAGCTCTGTAAATGCCTCGGCCCCTTCAGCTGGGCTGTGGGTGTCCCTGGACCAGCAGGTTCCTGGTGTTCCTGGAGGGAAACTGAGGCACCTCCCTGCTGTCCAGTCCATCCCGTGCTGTTGGGTGCAGGGATGTGCCCCCTGTTCACAGAGTGAGCAAATTATTAGTGAAAAAAGCCCAGAAGTTTCTCTCCTCAATTTAATAAAAAGATACCTCATAAGACCTTTGAGACTTCACCTCAAACCTAAAGCTACCCAGAATTAGACAGAAGCCAAAAAGTCCCACCTAAGTAATTCACTAGAAAAAGAAGAGAACCAAAGAAATAATCGCTTTTATGAAGTGTTTTTAGCAAGAGCAAGAACCTCTTACCCCTAGCTCAAGTTTTCTCTACAGGGAACTTTGTTATTTTGCGCTTTATTTAAACTCAGAAGCCATCCAGCTAATTTCATGGATTTGAGCTATCTCAGGTGTGATAGGTTTCTCTGAGAGCTCCTCAGACCTGGCTCCAGGAGTGTGGGGGTCCCAGCTGTGGGTTTCTCTGGGTCTGGATTGAAGAGACAGTAATGCATGTTCAGACTGAGGTGTTTATTATTTCTTATCACTAAAACAGTCTCACTGCTGGGAGTTCTGCAGCTTTTCTTTAGAAGGCACAAAATTGCCAACAATCTCCGGTTACAAGGTCTTTTAAGACAAAACTATCCAATTCAGAGCTGACACCTGGATTATTTCCCCTTTTAACCCAATAACTGATCCCACAGAGCTGCAATGGTGACTTTCCTGCCCAATTAAAAAATGCCCCCAAACCCATGGAGAAGGAGGAAGAAGAAGCTGAAGAAGAAACCCAGGATGACGCCCTGTGCCCTCCATCTTGCTCCCATGCACAACACACTGAAAATCCCTACACTGCTCACCAAGTGATACACCTGCACTACTCTCTATATTTCACACTTTTGTGGATTCTGGTCTATTCTGGAGTTTAGGGAACTTTCTCCATGGATGAGGGTCAGAGTCGGTGCTGCCCTGGGCTCAGGGCACCCCAGAGCAGACACAGAAATGTTCCCTGTGTGCCTTGGGTTTGCACAGAGGAGAAAACATGAGCTGGGCGCGTCCACAAACACAAATGCAGCACAGACACTCCCTGCCCCCTCCATCTCACATTTTCCAGCCCTTTGGGTGCCACAGGCACAGCTCTGAAAGGCTGGAAAAGCTGAAGGGTTTGGTGGAGCTCAGGAGACTTTTCCTCCTGGATCCTCCACTGCCACTCTGCAGTGATGCTCTTCTGCTGATTGCAGAGAAAAGCCTCACATCTATAAAAATGGAACACACAGCAGATTTTGTCCTTTTGGGCTTAAACAGAGATGAATATTGGCGGTGCTCGCTGGTTTCAGATCCTTTAACACGTTACACTCCATATTCTGATACTGTGCTACAATCACGCTTTCATCCAAAACCTCTGAAAGAAAAATTACATGCTTTGATCTTTGCAAAAATGTGTATTATTTCCAGAGCAGTTTTCAACTGTGGTAATAGAGAGAGGAAATGCAAACACAACCATCAAGAAAACTGTAAGAGACAGTAGCTTGTGATAGAGGCAAATTAGATGAAGGCAAAATGTTCAAGAAAAAATATTTTTTGACTTACCATTCACCCTGAAACAATTGCAATATATTGATGGGAGATAAGAAATGTGAGATACTAAGATTTCTACAAAATAATACATCTGCCTCCTAGCCAATGGCTGTTCTGTAATTAGTGCACCTCTGGCACTGACCCACTTTAAAAAAAAATCAAAAAAATTAAGTTATTTTCCTTCCTTCATTTCTTCAGGGCAGGAAGCATGTCAATGTTTATAAGCTGTTATGTAAATGCACAGCACTACATAAATTTTGTTAACAACGAAATAATTCTGTTTCTGTGCCCAAAATCCAGACATTAACCCTTTTCTAGCCAGTGAATCTGTGTAGCAGCATCCCCAGCAGGGCAGCAGAAAGGGAAGCCCAGAGCAGAGGCTTTGTTTGCTCACACGATTTCAGCCTCAGGGGCAGCTCAGGGTGATCCCAGAGCTGGCCAGAAAACATCGACTGAAGATGTTGAACAGCACTTTCAGCTTCACTTCTTTCTCATAAAAATCTACTGGGAGTATATTACAAGGTCATTTGATTGATCTCTGGTATTTAGAGATATTAAATATTTCAACACTTTGGTCAAATCACAAAATTGAAATGCTGAGAATTCAGAAATCACATCCATGCTTATCCCACACCAATGTTCTTCCGGTTCAGACCTTGTGTCCTGCAGCATTTTTTAGATTATAATACTGTCCTTTAAATTAATCAATCAAACTAATGACACAGTTTTTCCACAAGAAGTTGTAAAAAAAATCATGTTCCATGCATCGATTCAAGAAAGGATATGACAGGTATATAAGATAATGAATTATGTTAATCAAAATTCACCATCTCCTCATAAATGATCTGAGAGCTAATGGAAACTGGGAAGTAATTATTAAAACAGATTTTTTTAATATAATACGTAATTAACTCATGGAAGTCACTGCTTCCAGGCATCATTTAATGAAGATGTTTATAGGGTTGAGGGCTTTTACTCTGTGTGGGTAGCAGGAAATTTCACATATAATCCAGAGGAAATGTTCTGCTCCAAGCTAAAAACCAGGGCCATCATTTAAAAAGCAAGACTCTAAAAGACTTCAGGTTTCTAATGCACTAAACCATGATTAAACTACTGTGCATTTTAGCATTAAAAGTCACAAATAGATGCACTTGGGAAATTTATCCTTGTAATAAAACCCACTTCTATATCAGGTAGGGAGCAAAATGACAAACCATGGCTCACTCAGAAAGGTTTTGTGTGCCAAGGCCCAGAAATTCCACAGATAAACCCCAAATTTCAGTCCTAAAGTGCCTGAAAAAGCAGGAATAAAATCTCAAATGGGTGAGATCAAAGAACCCTCAGTGGAAACAACCTCTCTGTCTCTATGTGGGCACTGAAGGAAAAACTTGCATGGAAAATGCTCCCACTTTCCATCATTTTGAAGCCTCAAACCTTCCTGACTTTCTGAGGCCTTTCTCTACCTGGCAAACCTTAATAAATTTTCCCCAAAAGAAATTTGCAATTCTTTCTTGCTTTTTACTTAGAAATGGAAAACACTGTGAGGATGGATTCGATGAGGTTTCTTTAACTTCCAGTTTGGTAACCAAGTAAAAAAAGCAAACAACTTGCATAGCACCAGAACAGATTCTCTCCGACAAAATAAGAAGATATAAATATCAGCAACCAACAGCTATAATAAAAATAAACAAAAATTGGACTGGAACCCAAAGTTACTGATCTCCTTAAAGACACCCAAGCAGAATTTCAAGGCTGCAGGAATTCCTCTGGTTTCTGTGGATGGGGAAGAAGGAGAACTGAGAATATGCAAATAGGCAAGTATTTCATGATATGCAGATGGCAAGAAGATAATTTCCATCTGACTTTTTTTTTCCACTGGGTAATTACACTCTCCCTAGCAGAAGCTTTACGTCTGCATTGAAAGCAATAGCCAGCTCTCTGTAAATAACCCACTTCCTGGAGTGGGATGGAGGAAAGGGAGTTTAGCAAAAGCATTTTTATCTTTTTTTGGTTAGAATTTTTGTGCTGTAATTTCACTTCAAGTGGCTACTGCAATTACAGGTTAAATTTGGCACCTACACTCTACTAATCCAATATTTTGCTAACTCATTTAAGCTATAACATAAGAGGAGAGAAAATTAGTTTTAGGCTTCTGTAATGTAATTATTACCTTTTATATAAAAAAAAAGCAAGCATGGCCAATTAGTAAATAAAGAGAACTAATTTCTTTTTGGCGGTTGGCAAAAAAAAATGTGCAATTTAGTTCTTACAAATTTTTTAAAAATTACCTGCTGTATATGACCAATTTTTCTTCTAAGTTTTGCGAGCACTTTTGCACAAATAAACATCAAAATTCTATAATTACAAATTAGAGTCGCTGATTACACGTATTTACAGTAATTACATAATTAGCAATAATTACATTAATTAGGCAAACAATACACTGCATTGACTAGCAATGGAAAAACAAGAACATTCACACATATAAAAACCTGCTTTGAGCTAGGAAAGAAAGATTTTATCATTAGCACTAAATGCAGAATTAAAGCACAGAGCAGCACCACTGGAGCGTGCCCTGCTTTGCTCAAGCACCAAAAAACTTTTGAAAATGCTATTAACAAACACAATGAAGTATTTTGGAATACATATATCCCAAAAAACACGAGCAGAGGAATACTGAATTCATGTGGAATGCTTTAGGGACAAGAATTTCTGTTTCAGGAACCCCTAACTTGTTTCTTTCCAGAGCCTGACCCCCAGGCCGCAGAAAGCTCTGGCTGCCTATGCCATGGGCTGTCACTGAAAAACGTGACCTTGATTTTGGCACTGATGCTCCTGCTGCACCCTCCCAGCCTTTCTCTGGTGCTGCCTCTGATATTCAGAGTAAAATACCCATTTTTATCCCGCCTGGTTTGTTTCCTGCCAAGCTGCTCCAGATCACCCCCAGGCTGATGCTAGGAGGGAGAACAAAACCCCTCTGGAGCAGCAGCAGTAGCTTGGATGCAGGGAAGCAGGAGGAGAACTCACAAGTTTAGGTGATTAAATTCCACAACCACGATAGGTAAAACCAAGCAAGAAGACAAAGCCACCCTGGGGACACCTCACTGCTCAGGAGCTGAACACAGAGCCTGCTGCAAGGGGAACGGGAGGAGGTCAGGGCAGAAAGCTGAGGAACGCAAATGTGTGTTTTCCTGAGAAAAGGAAAAACTCCCTTATTCCATCTGCCACCAGAGAATGGTCACAGCCAGGAACTGCTGATATAGAAAGAGTATTTTTAGTCTGGACCTTGCCAGTAACAACCTCACCCTGTTCTGGTGCAGTGCTAATTCTGTTCCCATCCAAGGAGTGAACCCCAAATTTCAGACAGCTCCCTGGATTCCTTGGAGCTTCACACCACGGGATCCCTGGGCTTCACACCATCTCTCATGGGGGGTTCTGTGGGGTTTTTAATGGGTATTGATAGGGTGTGAGAGCTGTGCTGCAGCCCAAAGGCATTGATGCCCCACAGTGCCAGCTCCAGAGCTCGGGATTTCCCTAGGAGAAGGCAGTTTGTCACAGAGGTGTCCCAGGGAGGGGACAGTCTCATCCACTGTAAAGGAATGCTGAAGGAATCCCACTGCAGCAAGGGATTCCCAGAAACACACCTGTGCTAGGGAGAACTTGGAGAGAAAACTAATTAGTTCAAACCAAAGGAGAGATTATCACTGAATTAATATTTATGCAACACAGGCAACCAAGGGACCAGGAAATAGGACAGGATGGGGAGAGAAAGTCCTTGAAAACACAGTTGCTCATATTGGATTTGTCAGAAATGTAGTGAAGGACAAAGGAAACAGTGAGGGCGAGGCAACCTGGAATAAGTCAAGGCAGCTGCTCTGAGGGTTTCATTGAACGCATGACATCTGTATTTTCTGAGGGTTTCACTAAACACATCACATCTGTATTTTCTGAGGGTTTCATTAAACACATCACATCTGTATTTTCTGAGGGTTTCATTAAACACATCACATCTGTATTTTCTGAGGGTTTTAGTGTGAAGGTGCAGTACTAACATCCCTAAAAACGTGAGAGACACCCAGAGGTTTGGGGCTGTCTGTGGCCACTTCTCACCTCATCAGGGACCGATGTCCTGCATCCATTCTTCTTTCCCAAGAACACCAGGGCTGGCAAGGAGGCAGTGATGGTGCTGATGCTCATTTGGGATCAGGAGGGAGAGGCTCCCACTGCAAACTGGTTGGCAGCTATGAAGGAAGGTGGACAGGAGCAGGCAATCCCATACATAAAGGCGTTTTCTTGATTAATTAAGACTTTGATACAAAATAAACTATTTAAACATTGTTTTCTTGTTCTGACAGTGAAGTTGTTCCCTTATATAAATTCCCCACTGTGTTTGAGCACAGGCTCAGATGTTTCCAGTATGTCACCAAGTACTCACCTGCTTTTAACTTCATTGCCAAGTGACCACAATATCACATTCGGATAATGCACTTATGATATCAATCTGAGCATCAGCAGGAGAGCAGGACACTTTGACAACACAGGCTCAGCCATTGGGAAGGTCCACCAGGCTCAATTAAAGGCCAAAGCTTCTGGGGTGCACTGGGACCTCGCTCATTATCTGCACTACTCCTCATTCCACAGAACCACAGGTAAAGCGGCTCCTGTTTAGAAATTTAGCTACAGCAGTCTGCCTAAAACACTTCAATTATGCAGTTCCCAAGTTACCTTTGTGTTTAGTGAATGACAGCCCTGCTGAAGGTTTAATGAGCTGTGAATGACTATACAAAACTTAGAGGATCACAAAACCTGCTTCTGGTAATTTACATGAGCAGTTACATCTAAGTGCCAGAATCTATGTCATGATCCATTGTTAATACACTCGCTGTGTTCCTTCTTAAGACTGGTTGGAATACAATTATTTCCAAGTCTCCAAGCTAAACCTGTCCATTCTGGTTTTCCTTTGTCTGAAGCACTCATTGATACACAAAAAGCCTGCCTAGGAACATCAGCTCCCTAGAGCTTTTAGCAGTTAAAATATTTGATTCCTTCTTGCTTTCCACCTCACACGAGAGGTTTTTTTAAGAGGAAATGCCTTACATTTCTGTGTAAAAGTCTGTCACATTGTGCTGGTGGGTTTGCAGACTGCCAGAATTCCCTGCTGGAATAGCTGTGGGCTCATGGAACTGCTCACAGAGCCCACAGAGGCTCCTCAGCAGTGAGCTGATCCATCAGCATCACCTTCCCTGGCACACACATTTCCACATTTCACCCCGTGCTTTGCCCAGGGTGCCACAGCTTTGGCTTTTTGCACCTTTGAACTGAGAGCATGCCTGAATGAGGTGCTGCTCCTGGTATTCCTGCAAAGTGTCCAGAGCAGATCCCTGCTTACCTCGGGAGACACAAAAACCCCATCTCAGAGGGACTCAGATCAGCACAGTAATCCTTTAAGCCATCAGACAGTGTTATCTCATCATTTGTAGCTATTCAGTTCCTCTCCCGTACTCTCATCTGCACTTCCATCTCTACTGATAAATAGTAGCCACATAATTTAAGACATTCCTATTACTGAGAAACCCTGCCTTTGAGTGTCTCATCTTGACATCATTTATCCATTAATTACACAGAGAACCAAAAGCTGCATCCCACATTAACAAGGGAAAGCTGTAGGAAACAAAGAAACCAGAAGCAGAATTGATGAATGTTCCCTGCATCTTTCCTGTTAAGACACATTCAATCCAGAGCATAAAATTTGTTTTAAAAAGTACAAGAAAACATATCAGGAAAATAACTCACTTTTAGCCCTTAATATGTACATACATAGGTGCAATTAATATCATTACTATTTCTGCAGTCTACAGAATGCTCAAAAATAAGTGAGATTCAACTGCAGAAGCATGGCTAATGCTGCAGGGCTGCCATGGAAAATAAAATCAGAAATGCTGGAAAGCAAAGCACTGTTCTTTACTGCCAGCTTGCTGAAGATTTAAGAAAAATAATTGTAAAAAAAAAAAAAGAAAACAACAAAAAAACCAACTACCTTGTTTTTTTCTTTTTACAATTCCATTTATAAAAGTTAAAACCAGTTACAGAAATATAAACTAATTTTCTAGAGATTTCATGCAAACAATCTTGCCCTTGATATTACAAAGTCAGATTCAGAAACACACTTTATATATTACTATTATATTACTACAATATTACTACAAGCCCTCCATCACCCCTGCTGAACATCTCCTCCTGAAGTAACTCAACATGATCAGGAGCCCCAGAAAAACAGGAGCACAAAACATGGAAATTTCATTGTGCCACAGAAAAATGAAACACATCCAGGAAGAGGAACTGAGTACAGCCTGGCTGATGTGGGCACGGAGAAGTGAATGTGGGGCTGCTGTTCCATTCCCAAAGATGAATCCACAGCAAAGGCAAACACTTTTCATGTTATATGTGAGTTCTGCACATCAATCACTCCCTATGGGACAAGGGTAAAAAAGTGGAGAAAATAAAGCCCACAAATAATTCACCTTTCCAATGCCTCAGCTCTGAACTCAATGACCCAGCTTGGCCAAACCACCCAGGCCTGCTCTGCTTTTCTGGGTACCTTAAACATGAATACAGAATAACTGAGTGCAAGGATCCAGTGTCCACTGTGTCTGTCACAAACAGAACTGTCACAAAATCCCGTGTCCTACCCTGGGATTAAGGCAAATTTTAATTGTGCTGGGTGGGGAGCCTGGGTCAAACTTCTCTGGCATTTTGTGTGTATTGATCATGCAGATCAGTGGGCAAAACCCAATTTAAATAATAACCACAAGTTACAGCAGCTACAGCAGAGCGCTGGTGACCTTCCATGGTGTCAGCAAGGACGTTGTGTTATGCCAGGGCTGATACACTTGTTCCCAAAGAAACATTCCATTATCTAGATATTGAAAAATGGCCATCACCCTGCTTTAAACAATGTTAGCTAGAGCCACCTTTTCTCTTTGTTTTCTCTGGCTTTTCACCAGGAAAACAAAAATATGCTGACTTCAAAATCTTTAATGATTTTTTTTTTCCATCTAAAGAGCAGGAAAATTAACACATTTGGAAAAAAGTCTAAAATTTATATTTATATTTTAAATTTATTTAAAGTTTATATTTATTCCCATTTGGGAAGAATAAGTTTATTGTGGAATTTCAGCAATTTGGGTGACGAGTTCCCTGCATAAAGCATAGGGAAGGTCATGAATACCACTCCAAAATTGTGTACCCAGCAGGAAAGGGAGGATTCTTCTCTTTCCTCAACATCATCCATCCCCTTGTTGGGTCTGTAATTCCCACCTGGAGCTTGGTGCACCGGTCACACAATCACCCTTCTAAAGCAGCATCTTCTCTATCTCACCCCCTTTGTTGAACAGAACTATTGTTCTTTGTTCCATCCAGCAGACATGGTTTGAATGCTTACCCAGCACAGGGGGTGGTTGATAAATAGGCAGATCAATTAATCTGAAAAGGTTGTAAATTGCTGTTTCGTTTCCCTTGAAAAATTACAATTGATGAAAATTTATTTGAAGGCGGAATTCTACAAGAGACTTTCATAATTAACAATCCAATGTAACAATCATTCCAATTCCCAAAGGTTCACAAGATCAATTTTATAGTATTTTTCTCACTCGAGCATTATTTATTCATGCATTCATCTTAAATTGTTGATTTTTTTTGTTGTTGTTTTTTTTTGCTGCAATATGATGATTTGTCAAAGACAAAGCATTTTCCAATTTTATTTTTTTTTTAACACCAGCAAGGTGTTAAAAAATGAAAAGAATATATTTAAAGCCAATCACTAACAGCCACAAGACTGCCTGAAATGCTGTGGAATTCTATTCCAGGAATATAATCAGAACTGCCTCTCCTGCATCCCAGGTTTGTGTCCTGATCCTGGTGTCTGCATTGCTTCATTTCCCTCCTTCTCTCAAAGGAGAAAATTAAAAAAAAAAAAAAAAATTCCTATCCCCCCACAACACAACGTTATGCCCCAACAAAATGGATATTTCAGGAATATTTAAATTGCCTGAGCTGATAATGCTGAGAGGGTGAACTTCACTCTCAGTTTCTCAAGGAACAGAGATAACTTGTGAATGCTCCACTTTAGGTGTAGCCAAAAGGAATTACAGCACAATAACTGCAGTTGTGAGACCTTTCAGAGTTCATCAATAAATCTCTCTTTGATACTATGTGAAGATATAGGGAAGTTTAATCAATAATTAATGTTAATCACATTCAGTCTTAATCAATGCCAGAACTACTGCTCTTCACAAAGCCCAGAGACAGCTCTGTGAGGTACAAAATCACATTTAATTAAAGCTGCGCATGCAGAGGAGTTTTTAATGCCATCATAATTAGTTTGTTTAATACTGCAATTTCCAAACTCCCCTGTACATTTTTTGCAGAGCACTGGAATATCAAATCCATTATTGGCACCTGCTGTAAGAGCCAGGGCTGGTCATGTACAGCTCTCACCTGTGAGTCTGAACAGGGGCAGAACTTATCCTTGCAACACCCAGAAATAACCTAGGAGATGGTGCCCAGCAGTCCAAACCTTCCTGAAAGCCAAAACCATCAATGGAAGATGCAACAGAGCCACTCAAAATGCAAGTTATGGCTCTCTGAGCCTCCCAGGGTCATTGGGGAGAAGAGCACTTTCACTCAATGCTGGTTATCAGGGATAAAAGGTTTCTTTTCTAACCTGGGGATCCAAAAGGGATTGGTGCCCATCACTGCACCCCATCTCCTGAGAGCTGCGCTGAGGATGGGCCTTTCTATTTCCCTCTCACCGGGAAGGGGAGGTCACAGCCCCAAACACAAA